GAGGGGGGAGGGTAAGGAAGGGGGTGAGGGGGAGGTGGTGAAGGGGGTGAGGGGGAGGTATGAAGGGGTGAGGGGAGGTATGAAGGGGGGGTGAGGGGGGGAGGCATGAAGGGGTGAGGGGGAGGTATGAAGGGGGAGGGGGGAGGTATGAAGGGGGGTGGGGAGGGGGGGAGGTATGAAGGGGGTGAGGGGAGGAAGTGGAAGGGGGTGAGGGGAGGTATGAAGGGGGTGAGGGTGAGATTGAGAGGGGGGTGAGGGGGAGGTTTGAAGGGGTGAGGGGGAGGTTTGAAGGGGGTGAGGATGAGGGGTGAGGTATGAAGGGGGGTGAGGGGGAGGTATGAAGGGGGGTGGTGGGGAGGTATGAAGGGGTGAGGGGGAGGTATGGAAGGGGGTGGAGGGAGGAGGCATGAAGGGGGTGAGGGGGAGGTATGAAGGGGGGGTGGAGGGGGAGGTATGAAGGGGGGTGAGGGGAGGTGTGAAGGTGAGGGGGAGGTATGAAGGGGGGTGAGGGGAGGATGAAGGGGGGTGGAGGGGGAGGTATGAAGGGGGGGTGAGGGGAGGATGAAGGGGGGGTGAGGGGGGGAGGTGGGAAGGGGTGAGGGGAGGTATGAAGGGGGTGAGGGGAAGTATGAAGGGGGTGTAATAGAGATATACAGTCATCTGAACTTATCTTAAAGGATGTGGAGAATGACCTCCTAACGTGAGTCCAGCATATAGAGGGTCGAGGTGTGTGAGGTGGTGGTGTGGAGGTGGAGGTGGTGGTGTGGGAGGTGGTGGTGTGGAGGGGTGGGTGGTGGTGTGAGGTGTGAGGTGTGGTGTGAGGTGGTGGTGTGAGGTGGTGGTGTGAGGTGAGGTGGTGGTGGAGGTGAGGTGGTGGAGGGTGGTGTGGAGGTGTGAGGTGGTGGTGAGGGAGGTGGTGGGTGTGAGGTGGTGGTGTGGGGTGAAGCGGAGGTGTGAGGTGGGGTGTGAGGTGAGTTAGGGAGGTGAGGTGGTGGTGAGGTGAAGTTATGAGGTGAGGTGGTGGTGGTGAGGAGGGGAGGTTGTGGAGGTGATGTTGGAGGTGAGGTATAGGTGTGAGGTGGGTGTGAGGAGCTATGAGGGTGGTGAGGTGGTGTGTGTGGAAGTTAAGGAGGTGTGAGGTGGTGGTGTAATACCCAGTGACAATATTAGTGGAGACTCTCCCTCCCTTTAAACTCTTGACATAAACCAAGACTTCAGGTACCATCGTCTCCTTCCCCTCCCTTCCTCCTCCTCCTTCTTCCCTCCCTCCCTATCCCTTCCTCCCCCTCTCCCTATCCCTCTCCCCTATCCCTCCTCCCTCCTCCTTCAAAAGTCATTGTTGTTGGGTCTCTCTTCTCTCTCTCTCTCTCTCTCTCTCTCTCTCTCTGCTCCGCCTTTGATGTTGACGCCTCAGCTCCTGGACGGCACAGGAGTTAAGAGGCCATCACGGAGACTCACTTTTGGACAGAGACTCGATATTTGGGCTAAGTTAATTAAATCTGAATGGAATGGCGCCACTCTCCCTATTGATGAAGAGAGAGAGAGAGAGAGAGAGAGAGAGAGAGAGAGATCCGCCTTTGGTAATGCTCTTCGTTTAGGTGGGGAGAGAAGGGGAGGGGGAAGAGAGATAGGGATAGAGAAAGGAGGTGGAGGAAGGAAGACAGAGAGAGGGAGAGGGGGAGAGAGGAAGAGAAAGAGGGGATAGAGAGAGATATATATATATAGAGAGAGGGAGAAGAAGAGAGGTAGATGGAGAGAGAAGATCTTCTTTTGGTAATGCTATTTAATAATGACAAGAGAGAGAGAGGAGAATCATTATAATATATTTATTATTTGTATCATTATATATATATATATATATATATATATATATATATATATATATATATATATATATATATATATATATATATATATATATATATATATAATCTTGCTTTTAAAAAAAAATCATCTAAAATTATCCACGACAGTTTTACAGAAATATGTTAATTTAACACTGAAACAATTCCATATATTTTCAAATCAAAAGAATTCCTCCACTAACGCTCAACAGCTGGTCGTGTAGATAGTTAAAAAAAATATTCAGCCAACACATCTAACAAGTGCCATCAGAATGGGTTACCTGGGGAGTTTCAGGTGTGTAAAGTGGATGAAGGGGGAGGGTGTTGATTGGCTGTACGGGAGAGGTGTTGACCAATCCGGGGAAAGGGGGGATTAAAATTGTGACTTTTGACCTTTTAGAGGGAGGGGGGTTAGTTGTTTAATCAGGGGTGTCTTATCTTTAGGTGATGGTTGTGTGTTTTGTGCTTATTTTGTGGTTGTTGTAGTTGTACCTTTTTTAGTTGTTGTATTGATTTAAGTTGTTGTGTGTGTAGGGGTTCATATGCATGAGGCATGACTTAAGTAAGGGATCTCACAGCAAATATGTTGAAGGAAATCTGTCGTGATGTCAGGGTAGAACCGACCTCCTTCCATTGGACGGTGAGAATTTCCAACACAGGATCTTAAACACATCCAACGAAGCCCGTGTTGACGTCAGTGCTCGAGGATTCTGGACCCGGGGACAGCGAGCCGCCTTCGACATCAAGATTTTTTATTCCATGGGCGCATGTCACCGTAAATTAGCTCTCGATGCTGTACACAGGAGGAACGAGAACGACAAGATATGGGCATATGGGAGAGAGAACGTTGACCAAAGCAGCTTCACTCCTCTGGTGTTCACAACCTCTGGTGGGATGGGACCAAGTGCAAGTTGCTTCTACGCCAGACTTGCGGAGGTGTTATCCGAACAGAAGCAGCAGCCCAGTAGTTATGTTACAGCCTGGATGAGATGTCGACTGTCCTTCTCTCTCCTAGGTTCGGTTTTGCTTGCCTCAGGGGAACGAGAGCATCGGGCTCCAAAGCCGACAAATAAATGCAGATATTGACTATGAGGCTACAGTCACTGAATGCCCCATAGATCTGCGGCTCAACTAACTCAACACAGATAGGATAGCTACTTATGTATTAGGATATTTAATATTAAGGTAATAAAATGGCAGGAAGGTGGCTGTTGGGGGAGGATGGAGGCCACTTTTTTTTAAGTTGTAGCTGTTGTATTAATTGTAATTGTAGTTGTTGTTGTAGCTGTAGTAGAAATGGTAGTTATTGTAGATTTTGTAGTAGTAGTAATAATGCTTGTAATTGTAGTAGTAGTAGTATAAGTAGGATAGCTTCATGTATTAGGATATTTAATATTAAGGTAATATTAAGGTGTGGCTATTGGGGGAGGCTGGAGGCCATTTTGTTAATAATAAAAAAAAGTGGTGGTAGTAGTAGTAGTAATATTTGTTATAGTTATTGTAGTCTTAGTAATTGTTGTTGTTGTTGTAGTAGTAATGGTTCACCGACTTATAAACCTGCCAGATTACAAGGCAGAAAGTTAACACCTGGTTCACACATCAGTAAGTTCAGTTTACCTGTGATCAACATAAACTTATTAACCTTATTACACCTTCAAGTTCAACTCCAGTTCGTCTTTTACCCGACCTTTTAATTTTTACTTCAAAGGTTAAAAGGGAAATAATTTTTAGTGTATTAAAATGATGCAAAGTTTTCTGTCTAGAGTTTACATTAGTTCATGTTAATAATGTACTGATAGAAAACGGGATCCAGGTATGTCGCTGGAGTGCTGTGTATGGACGATCGTTCTACTTTGAATACTTTACTTTGAAGTGTGATAAGTGTTAGTATGAAGTGTGAGGATGAGGCTATGGTGAACGTAGAGTGTGTCATTATAAGTGTGTTAGTGTGAAGTGTGAGGCTGATAAAGTGTGGCAGTATTCAGTGTGTGTAGTGAGGATGTGTACAGGCACCCACGTCTGGTCCGGCCTGATAACCTGACCCCTTGCTTGCTTATTTTATACATGTTATTTTGATAGTGTAGTGTAGGATGTCCAACATGTACACACACACACACACTCACACACACACACACACACACACACACACACACACACACACACACACACACACAGGCACACACACACACACACACACACACACACACACACACACACGGGCACGCCCACTCCACTTACATAGATACACACCATGTATACACCCTACACAAATCCTGGTCTCTCTCTCTCTCTCTCACCTTCAGCCAGGTCGGTGTGTGAATTCACTATATGTTACTGCCTGTAAACAAACGTGTGGTAGGTGTAAACAAGGTGGGGTGGGTGGTAAACAGGTGGGTGGTGGAAAACAGCGTGGGGTGGTGAAAACGGTGGGTGGTGGTGTAAATAAGGTGGACAGATAGTGCAAGATGTTATCAGGTGTGTGTGTGTGTGTGTGTGTGTGTGTGTGTGTGTGTATATATTGAGTCTAATGGTTATTTTCTTGTCCACAGGTAAAGGAGTGGAGGGAGAGTTGAGGCTGTGTGGTGACTACTACACCAGGTGAGAGAGAGAGAGAGAGAGAGAGAGAGAGAGAGGGAGAGAGGGGAGATCAACACGACAGGTAAGTTAAACACACAACACAGGTGAGTTTTTCCTCATTTACAAAACTTCTAACCTAAAAATAAATAAATAAAACACCTAACTATTTTATGTCTCTCTCTCTCTCTCTCTCTTATCTTTATTGTTTCGTGACGTAGATCAAGAATAAACAGAGATACGAAACAGAAGAAGAAGGAAGAAGATAAACCAGGAGATAAGGCATGATAAGACGAAAATAGATAAAAACATCTTGAAGAAACACACACACACACACACACACACACACACACACCACAGGCATCAAGTTCGTTCGTGGTTTTCAATATTATGTTTGTAATTGCTTTCTATCGTTCGTAGATGTGGGTTATGGACACGTGTTTGTTCGTAGGTGCAGAAAGTGGATGCGTTCGTAGACATAAAAAGTAGTAGACATGGGCATGGGTTTGGGCGTGGGCATGGGGAGGGTGTAAGTATGGGCAGGAGTGTGGGCGTAAACATGACATAAGTGTGGGCGTTAGTATGGCCTTGAGGAGTGGCATGGGTATGAATGTGGGTGTAAACATGGGCATGAGCGTGGGTGTAAGCATGGGCATGAGCGTGGGTGTAAGCATGGGCATGAGCGTGGGTGTAAGCATGGGCATGAGCGTGGGTGTAAGCATGGGCATGAGCGTGGGTGTAAGCATGGGCATAGGTGTGGGCGTGGGCGACACTAATTAAAGGTACAAGGAAGACACCTGTGGGTGGAGGAGATGAAAGAATTCCAATCGCTTTTTTTTCTCCAAGAAACTGAACCTGTTTGTACAGGAGGTGGATAGTGGTGTTTGTGTGGGTACAGAGGTGGATAGTGGTGTTTGTGGGTACAGGAGGTGATAGTGTTTGTGTGTGTACAGGAGGTGGATAGTGGTTTTTGTGTGGGTACAGGAGGTGGATAGTGGTGTTTGTGTGTGGGTACAGGAGGTGGATAGTGGTGTTGTGTGGGTACAGGAGGTGGATAATGGTGTTTGTGTGGGTACAGGAAGTGGATAGTGGTGTTTGTGTGGGTACAGGAGGTGGATGGTGGTGTTTGTGTGGGTACAGGGGTGGATAGTGGTGTTTGTGTGGGTAAAGGGTGGATAGTGGTGTTTGTGTGTGGGTACAAGAGGTGGATAGTGGTGTTTGTGTGGGTAAAGGTGGATAGTGGTGTTTGTGTGGGTACAAGGGGTGGATAGTGGTATTTGTGTGGGTACAAGAGGTGGATAGTGGTGTTTGTGTGGGTACAGTGGGTGGATAGTGGTGTTTGGGTACAGGGAGGTGGATAGTGGTGTTTGTGTGGGTACAGGAGGTGGATAGTGGTGTTTGGGTAGAGGTGGATAGTGGTGTTTGTGTGTGGGTACAAGAGGTGGATAGTGGTGTTTGTGTGGGTACAGAGTGGATAGTGGTGTTTGTGTGGGTACATGAGGGTGGATAGTGGTGTTTGGGTACAGGAGGTGCATAGTGGTGTTTGTGGTACATGGGGTGGATAGTGGTGTTTGTGTGGGTACATGGGGGTGGATAGTGGTGTTTGGGTATGGAGGTGCATAGTGGTGTTTGTGTGGGTACATGGGGTGGATAGTAGTGTTTGTGTTGGTGGGAGGTGGATAGTGTGGTGTTTGTGTGGGTACAGGAGGTGGATAGTGGTGTTTGGGTACATGGGTGGATAATGGTGTTTGTGTGTGGGTACAGTAGGTGGATAATGGTGTTTGTGTGGGTACAGTGGGTGGATAGTGGTGTTTGTGTTGGTACAGGAGGTGGATAGTAGTGTTTGTGTTGGTACAGGAGGTGGATAGTGGTGTTTGGGTACAATGGGTGGATAATGGTGTTTGTGTGGGTACAGTGGGTGGATAATGGTGTTTGTGTGGGTACATGGGGTGGATAGTAGTGTTTGTGTTGGTGCAGGAGGTGGATAGTAGTGTTGTGTTGGTACAGGGAGGTGGATAGTGGTGTTTGGGTACAATGGGTGGATAATGGTGTTTGTGTGGGTACAGTGGGTGGATAATGGTGTTTGTGTGGGTACAGTAGGTGGATAGTAGTGTTTGTGTGGGTACAGGAGGTGGATAGTGGTGTTTGTGTGGGTACAGGAGGTGGATAGTGGTGTTTGTGTGGGTACAGGTGGAAGATAGGGGAGGGAGGTGGGGGATGGGGAGCAGGGCAAGAGGGCGGTGGGTATGGGGGAGCAGGGCAAGAGGGCGGTGGGTATGGAACCCAGGGCAAGAGGGGCAGTGGGTATGGGAGCAGGGCAAGAGGGGCGGGAGGTAGGAGCAGCAGGGCCAAGAGGTGGGAGGAGCAGGGCAAGAGGGGCCAAGAGTAGGAGGAGGAGGGGCAGGAGGGGCGGTGGCGGGGCATAAAAAGTATAAGAGTGGGTTTTGGTGTAGGTGGGTGTCATCTGCATTCCTACTTGATAAGACTGTGTGCGGCTCCTCCTCCCTCTCTTCTCTTCCTTCCTTCCCTCCTCCCTCCCTCCCTTCCCTCCTTCCCTCCTCCCTCCTTCACCCTCTCTTCTTCCCTCCAGTGTGCAGCTCCTCCCTCCCTCCCTCATTCCTCCCTCCCTCCCTCCCTCCCCTCCCTCCCTCCAAGGTATATGGTGAGATGTGGACTGACGAAAACACACACACACACACACACACACACACACACACCACCACACCAACTTTCTTTTCTCCTTACTCTCCTTCCCTCCCCGACCCTATTACTCCCCCTCTTTTTTACTCTCCCTCACTCTCCTTCACTCTCGATACTCCCTCCTCTCCCTCCTCTCCCTCACACTTTCATTATGATCGTTGAGGACCTGATTGATGTGGACGACCAACCCCCAGGTGGTCGTAGTCGTGGTGGTGGTAGTGATTGTTGTTATTGTTATGATGGTGGTGTGGTTGGGTGTGGCAGAGAGATGGTGTGGTTGGGTGTGGCAGAGAGATGGTGGTGGTGTGGTTGGGTGTGGCAGAGAGATGGTGGTGGTGTGGTTGGGTGTGGCAGAGATGGTGGTGGTGTGGTTGGATGTGGCAGAGAGATGGTGGTGGTGTGGTTGGGTGTGGCAGAGATGGTGGTGGTGTGGTTGGATGTGGCAGAGATGGTGGTGGTGTGGTTGGGTGTGGCAGAGAGATGGTGGTGGTGTGGTTGGGTGTAGCAGAGAGATGGTGGTGGTGTGGTTGGGTGTGGCAGAGAGATGGTGGTGGTGGTGTGGTTGGGTGTGGCAGAGAGATGGTGGTGGTGTGGTTGGGTGTGGCAGAGATGGTGGTGGTGTGGTTGGGTGTGGCAGAGATGGTGGTGGTGTGGTTGGGTGTGGCAGAGATGGTGGTGGGGTGGTTGGGTGTGGCGAGAGATGGTGGTGGTGTGGTTGGGTGTTGGCAGAGATGGTGGTGGTATGGTTGGGTGTGGCAGAGATGGTGGTGGTGTGGTTGGGTGTGGCAGAGATGGTGGTGGTGTGGTTGGGTGTGGCAGAGATGGTGGTGGTGTGGTTGGGTGTGGCAGAGAGATGGTGGTGGTGTGGTTGGGTGTGGCAGAGATGGTGGTGGTGTGGTTGGGTGTGGCAGAGAGAATGGTGGTGGTGTGGTTAGGGTGGTGGTGTGGTTAGGTGTGGCAGAGATGGTGGTGGTGTGATTAGGTGTGGCAGAGATGGTGGTGGTGTGGTTAGGTGTGGCAGAGATGGTGGTGGTGTGGTTGGGTGTGGCAGAGATGGTGGTGGTGTGGTTGGGTGTGGCACAGGTGAGGTAGAGTTAAGTGAGGCAATGCTGTTTTCCATTTTGAAACACAGCAGCTAGTTATTGTGCACCCTCCCCCAGTGGTGAGGATATTGTGGCCTTAAGTGTGAGGGCAGTGTGTTGGGCATTGTGGTCAGAGGATGTGGTGAGTGTGGTTAGAGAGGTGTGGTGGGGTGTGTGAGATGTGGTGAGGGTGTGGTTGGGTCTGTTAGGGAGTGTGGTAGAGATATGGTGAGATGTGGTTGGTGTGTGGTAAAAAGGTGTGGTGGTGGTGTGGTTGACGCATTCACAGACCACTCTCCTCTCTCCTACACTCTCCTCTCTCTCCCTACACTCTCCCTCTCTCTACACTCTCCCTCTCCCCCTACACTCTCCCTCTCCTACCTCTCCCTCTCTCTCCTCTCTCCCCTACACTCTCCCTCTCTCCACTACACTCTCCCTCTCTCTCCCCTACACTCTCCCCTCTCCCTCTCCCTCTCTCTCCCCTCTCCCCTCTCTCCCCTACACTCTCCCTCTCTCCCTACCTCTCCCCTCTCCCCTCTCTCCTCTCTCTCCCCTCTCTCCCTCCTCTCTCTACCTCCCTCTCCCCCTCCCTCTCCCTCTCTCTCCCCCACTCTCCCTCTCTCCCTCACTCCCTCCCTCTCTCTCCCTACACTCTCTCCTCTCCCCTACCTCTCCCTCCTCTCCCTACACTCTCCCTCTCTCCCCTACACTCTCCCTCTCTCCCTACCCTCTCCCTCTCTCCCTACCTCTCCCTCTCTCTCTCCCCCACTCTCCCTCTCTCCCCTACACTCTCCCTCTCTCCCCCACTCTCCCTCTCTCTCCCTCTCCCTCTCTCCCCTACACTCTCCCCTCTCTCCCTACCTCTCCCTCTCTCCCCTACCTCTCCCTCTCTCCCTCCACTCTCCCTCTCTCCCCACACCCCCTCCCTCTCCCTCACACCTCCTCTCTCCCTCTCTCCCCTCACACCTCCCCCTCCCCACACCTCCCTCTCTCCCCACACCTCTCCCTCCCTACACCTCCCCTCTCCCCACACCTCCCTCTCTCCTCCTCTCCCCCTCTCCCCCCCACACCCTCCCTCTCCCCCACCTCCCTCTCCCCCTCTCACACCTCCCCCTCTCCCCACACCTCCCCCTCCCCACACCTCCCCTCTCCCCACACCTCCCCCTCTCCCCACACTCTCCCTCTCTCCCTACACCTCCCTCTCTCCCCACACCTCCCCCTCACCTCCCCCTCTCTCCCACCCCCTCCCTCTCTCCCCACACCTCCTCTCTCCCCACACCTCCCTCCCCACACCTCCTCTCCTCACTTCCCTCCCCCCCCCTCCACTCTCCCCCCCTCCCCCCCCTCCCCCCCTCCTCTCTCCCTCTCTCTCACACCTCCCCTCTCTCACACCTCCCTACACCTCTCTCTCTCACCCTCCCCCACCTCCCCCACATCTCCTCTCCCTCACACCTCCCTCCTCTCCCCACACCTCCTCCCTCTCTCTCACACCCTCCCTCACACTCTCCTCTCTCCCCACACCTCCTCTCCCTCTCTCCACACCTCCCCTCTCCCCACACCTCCCTCTCTCCCCACACTCTCCCTCTCTCTCTCCCCACACCTCCCACACCTCCATCTCTCTCCCCACACTCTCCCTCTCTCCCTACCTTCCTCTCTCCTCACACTCTCCCTCTCTCTCTCTCTCACACTCTCCCTCTCCATCTCTTCACACTCTCCCTCTCTCTCTATTCCCTCTCTCTTCACACTCTCCTCTCTCACCTTCCTTCCCCTTTATCCTTCTCTACTTTCTTCATTTTATTGTATGTTTTTTCGCTGTTTCCTGTTTGCCTCTCATCTTTTCCCTCCCTCTTATTCTCTCCACTCCATACCCCCTCCCTCCTCCCCCTCTCTCCCACCTTCCCTCTCTCCTCTCCCTGCCATGTCCTGGCAGGGTGCTGAGCGTGGACGGAATACTGAGCAGGAGAGATAAACCCCTTCCTGGCCGTCACACCAGGTCGCCGTCACACCAGTCGACGTCACACCAGGTCGCCGTCACACCAGGTCGACGTCACACCAGGTCGCCGTCACACCAGGTCGACGTCACACCAGGTCGCCGTCACACCAGGTCGCCGTCACACCAGGTCGACGTCACACCAGGTCGCCGTCACACCAGGTCGACGTCACACCAGGTCGCCGTCACACCAGGTCGACGTCACACCGGTCGCCGTCACACCAGGTCGACGTCACACCAGGTCGCCGTCACACCAGGTCGACGTCACACCAGGTCGCCGTCAGCAGGTCGCCGTCACACCAGGTCGCCGTCACACCAGGTCGACGTCACACCAGGTCGACGTCACACCAGGTCGACGTCACCCAGGCCGTCACACCAGGCCGTCACACCAGGTCGACGTCACACCAGGTCGCCGTCACACCAGGTCGACGTCACACCAGGTCGACGTCACACCAGGTCGCCGTCACACCAGGTCGACGTCACACCAGGTCGCCGTCACACCAGGTCGACGTCACACCAGGTCGACGTCACACCAGGTCGCCGTCACACCAGGTCGACGTCACACCAGGTCGCCGTCACACCGGTCGTCACACCAGGTCGACGTCACCAGGTCGCCGTCACCAGGTCGACGTCACACCAGGTCGCCGTCACACCAGGTCGCCGTCACACCAGGTCGACGTCACACCAGGTCGACGTCACACCAGGTCGCCGTCACACCAGGTCGCCGTCACCAGGCCACCGTCACACCGAGCAGCTATAACACCAGTTGTTTACTTTCTGTTCACCTGTTGTTCACCTGCCGTTCACATGCCGTTCCTCCCTGTTGACTGTATCGTTCATGCAATATCTGTTGCATTTATTGCTTCATATTGTTCAATTAGTTACCCTATAGTCTCGCCCGCTGTTGACAAAATGTTGCTGTTCTTTTGTCTTATCACAATAGCTAACACACACACACACACACACACACACACACAGATTATACTCTGTGGTTTGTTTATGAAATTGGAAAATAAGTTTATTTAATGTCATTCCAAGGGTTGGATATGTGTTTCAGAGAGGGGGCAAGGGCTGTGGAGGGGCTGGCTGAAGAGAGAGGAGGGGGGGGCAAGGGCAGTGGAGGGGCTGGCTGAAGAGAGAGAGAGAGGGGGCAAGGGGCTGTGGAGGGGGCTGAAGAGAAAGAGAGAGGAGGGGGGGGCAAGGGCTGTGGAGGGGCTGGCTGAAGAGAGAGAGGGGGCAAGGGGCTGTGGAGGGGTTGGCTGAAGAGAGAGAGAGAGGGGGGGGCAAGGGGTGGAGGGCTGGCTGAAGAGAGAGAGAGGGGGGCAGGGGCTGTGGAGGGGCTGGCTGAAGAGAGAGAGAGAGAGAGAGAGAGAGAGAGGGGGGGGGCAAGGTGGAGGGCTGGTGAAGAGAGAGAGAGGGGGGCTGTGGAGGGGGCTGGCTGAAGAGAGAAAGAGAGAGGGGGCAAGGCTGTGGAGGGGCTGGCTGAAGAGAGAGAGAGAGAGGGGGCAAGGGGCTGTGGGGGGGCTGGCTGAAGAGAGAGAGAGAGGGGGCAAGGGCTGTGGAGGGGCTGGCTGAAGAGAGAGAGAGGAAGGGGCAGTGGAGGGGCTGGCTGAAGAGAAGAGAGAGAGAGAGGGGAGGGGGGGCGGAGAGAAGAGAGGGGGCAAGGGGTGTGGAGGGGGGGCTGGAAGAGAGGGGGCAGGGGCTGTGGAGGGCTGGCTGAAGAGAGAGGGGCAAGGGGTGTGGAGGGCTGGCTGAAGAGAGAGAGAGGGGGGGGCAAGGGGTGGAGGGGCTGGCTGAAGAGAGAGGGGAGAGAGGGGCAAGGGGCTGTGGAGGGGGGCTGAAGAGAGAAAGAGGGGGGGGCAGGGGCAGGAGGGGCTGGCTGAAGAGAGAGAGAGGGGGCTGGCTGAAGAGAGGGGCAAGGGGCTGTGGAGGGGCTGGCTGAAGAGAGAGAGGGGCAAGGCAGTGGAGAGGGCTGGTGAAGAGAGGGGAGAGAGGGGGCTGGCTGAAGAGGGGGGGGCAGGCAGTGGAGGGGCTGGGAAGAGAGAGAGGGGGGGCAAGGGGCAGTGGAGGGCTGGCTGAAGAGAGGAGAGAGGGGGCAAGGGCTGTGGAGGGGTTGGCTGAAGAGAAGAGAGAGAGAGGGGCAAGGGCTGTGGAGGGGACTGGCTGAGAGAGAGGGGGGGGGGGGGGAGAGAGAGAGCTCAAACGTTACTGATACTTTATTGGTCAGTTTTGATCTCTCTGTATACAGTACTAATGTAGCTGTGTGTGTCCCAGCGTCGATCGGTAAGAGGTCGTGTTTATGTGTCTCCCCACGTTCTACATATCCCTCCCACACCTCCCCTCACTCACCCACACTCCACACACCCACACCCTCCCTCCCACACACCCACACACCCACACACCCTCCCCACACCCCACACCTCCCCACACCCCCACACCTCCCCACAACCCCACACCTCACCACACCCCCACCACACCCACGCCTACCACCCACACATCCCCCACACATCCCCCACAGCCCCACACCCACACCCCCCCACACACCCCACCCCCACGTCCCCCCCCACACACCACACCCCCCCACACACCCACACCTCCCCCACACACCCACACCCTCCCCACACACCCACACCTCCCCCACACCTTCCCACACCTCCCCACACCCCCACACGCCCACACCCTCCCCACACGCCCACACCCCCCCCACACACCCACACCCACACACACCCACACCTTCCCACACACCCACACCTTCCCACACACCCACACCTCCCCACACCTCCTCTACACCCACACATCCAACAAACCCACACCCCTCCCCACACACCCACACCCTCCCCCCCACACCCACACCTCCCCCCAAACCCACACCCCCCCCCCCACACCCACACCTTCCCCCCCACACCCACACCTCCCCACACCCTCACACACCCACACATCCAACAAACCCACACCCCTCCCCACACACCCCACACCCACACCCCCACACCCACACCTCCTCCCCACACCCACACCCTCCCCACACACCCACACCCCACACCTCACACACCCACACATCCAACAAACCCACACCCCCCCCCCCACACCCACACCTCCCCCCACACCCACACCTCCCCCCCACACCCACACCTCCCCCCCACACCCACACCCCCCCCCCCCACACCCACACCCCCCCACACCCACACACCCCCACACCCACACCTCCCCCACACATCCCCCCCCCCCACACCACCCATCTTCCGTCATGTTTGGTTGCAGGTAATTCATGGACTGGAAACACAAACAGTCGAGCTCCCAAGATAAAGTTAGTTGTATACGTATTGAGACAAGAGGGAAGACCCGCCTTGTGGTAGTGTCTTTGATGGAGGAGGCGATCATGGTGGTGTGTGTCGCCAGATTATTCCAGTCCCTACCCCGTCCCAACCCCTGCTAGTCCCTCGGCAGTCCTAATCCTCCTAGCCCCTTCCAACCCTCCTAAGCCAGTTTTGCTTCTAGTCCCATGCAACCCCCCCTCTCCAGTCAGCCTTCTCTTCCTCAACCAGTCCATCCTAAAGTTCCATTCAACACCTTATGTCTCCAACCCCTTCGCACCCTCTCCAGCCAGCCCAACTTCTAGTCCCTCCCAGTCCCTTCAACAATTCATACTCTAGTTCCTGCCAGCTCCCCTTCTATCAATTGCTTCTATCCTAATTATTGTCCATCTGTGTTCTTTACTATTCTACCCCGCCTTAGAATCTGTGGCTCCATACGCTTTTGACACACCTCTGTCATCAGTCCATCCAGGCGAAATCTTTAACATTCAGTAACATCAAAATTACTTCATGAATCGATATGAAATTTGGAATGCGACTTTAAGTTGTTAATATCTCATAGGAGCTAAAAAATTAATGTCTCAAGTGTTTATTTATCCGACTTATGGACGTCCTTATACTGAGCTATTTCGATGGGAGCTAAAATGGTCTTTGTTAGTATTCAATTGTTTTCTTTGAGTGTTTTATTGTTTAACACACACAAACACACACACACACACACACACACACACACACACACACACAAAACATTTAAAACAAACAAAACTTAAAAAAAATACATAAATCTCCGTCAACAAAAAACATCAAAGAAAAACGGGGGTAAAAAAACGAATAATTTAACAGAACTCAAGTAAAGTAAATAAGAAATATCCAGAAGGACTTAACCTTCTCCAAGTGTAAACAAAGGCTCTAGGACCGGATGTAAGTGAGGAAGACTAAGAAAGAGGAGGAAGATAGTATGGGACGTAGAGTGAGAGAGAGAATGGAATAAAAGAGAGTAATTGTAAAGAAACATAGAATAACATACATGATAAGGAGGAGGAAGAGAGAATAACAGAGAATAAGATGGCATGTTGGGTTAGAAAGGACATGAGAGAATTGGGAGTAACAAGAGGAAGCATAGAATGATAATTGTGGAGAAAGAAATTTGCAAGTGAGAAGACAATAAACGTAGGGATGATGATAATAATAATAATAATATAAATAAATAATAATAATAGGAGAATGAAGAGAGAGAAAAAGAAGAGGGAAGACAAGAAAAAAAGGAAGAGAGGGAAAGAAGAAGAAGAAAAACAAGGAGAAGGAAAGAAAGAGAAGGGAAGAAGGAAGAAAAGGGAAGAAGAAGGAAAGGGGAAGAAGGACTCATAAGCCAAGAAAGCATGAGTGAGTGTGAGTGATGGGGGCTAGTGAGACCTTGATGAGGCAACAGGATCACTCTCACAACAACGACGATGAGAGAGAGAGAGGGAGAGAGAGAGAGAGAGAGAGAGAGAGAGAGAGAGAGAGAGAGAGATCCAACATAGCTTAAAATCTGCCCCACATAACTAACACCTGTCCTACATATCCAACACCTGTCCCACATAATTATAATCCTTGATAATGTTGTTAGCATTGCAGGTTAGGGATGAGGTACCAGATATGAGGGTGCAGGCATGATATAATGAGGTGACATCATGCTATGTCGTAGGATATAAGGTGCCATCAGGCATAAGATATGATGCTATGATGCAGGTCAGGGATGAGGTACATGATGCCACAGTCATGTTTGGGTGGAAGTCAGTATGAGATGGCGAGATGCCTGACATTCTTGTATTAAGATGGCGATGTCGTTTTGTAATAGAGTCGTGGATGTTGGTAAATGGTGAGTTGGTAGAAGTGCAGGATTGTGGTGGTAGTAATTGTGATGATTGTGGTGGTTTTTTTTTTTTTTTTATTGTGTCATATTATTGTCTGTAGAAAGAAGGAAGGAGAGGAGGGAAAGTGTAAGGAGTGAGAGAGAGACAGGTAACACTGTCTACGTCCATCCAGGTGTGCTTAAAATCCTGGAACAGTTTTATTTGACTATCCTCCACCACTTGTTCCTCCACCACTAACCTCTCCACCACACTACCTCCATCACTACCCTCACCACTACCCCTCCCACCACTACCCTCCACCACCACTACCCCTCCACCACCACTCACCTCCACCACTACAACCCCCACCACATTACCCTCCACCACCACCACCTCCACCACTACTACCCTCCACCACAACCCTTCACCACTAACCTCCACCACCACCCCTTTCACCACCACCCCCCATCACTCCCTTCACCATCACCCTCCACCACTACCCCCACCACTCACCCTCCACCACCACCCCTTCACTACACCCTCCACCACTCATCCTCCACCACCACTCCTCCACCCACTACTCCCACCACCACTACCCCTCCACCACACCACTCTCTCCCACCACTACCCCTCCACCCACTACTCTCCACCACCACCCTCCACCACTACCCTCACCACTAC